CGTAAACAAAGGAAGCCGCCAAAACTTTTGCCATGGTTTTACTTGCACGCTGTCTGAAAATAAGCTTTCCCTAAAAAATACATAGTTTATATACCCTTAAAACGCAAAGATAATAATTTCCCTAAAATATTATTCTACCACAACACTAAAAAGTTCAGCAGCGAATTTCATTCGACAGTCAAGAAAAAAATGAAATATTCAGGATGCATGGGACAGAGGTCAAATTCAGAGTAATGCTGGTAATGGATGGCACTAAAAAACTTTATTTTATAGATACCAATTTTGAAAACTAAAAATGGACATATTGTTTTTAAGTACAATATTTTTTTAATTGATAAATATAAATAAATAAGTCAAAACTTATTGAGACCTTTGTGTTCCTTTATGTTCACTTCTCTGATCTGTTGAAGGTACAGTTACCACACATGTAGCATTTCTCATTCTTATTTAAGATTATTTGTTTTTCTAAAGATTTTTTTTTTCAATTCTCAAAAGCAATTCGAATATGAGGTAATCGAAAATCTTTTTCAGAAGTATCTTATCTGTTCGCCCACAAAACCAGTCTCTTTTTCCTTAATATTTTTTTTCAAACTGCAATTTAATTGAGCTGATCTTACTAGAACTGACCATGACAAAACCATTGTTTAAAAAATATTTAAAGTCAGTCACTTTATATACTTGTGGCAGAGGAAAATGTACATATTATTAAATATACCCCCATCCTTTTTAGGAACAAATTTATCTTTTATGAGCTTAAATTAATTTTCATCAGGTATTGTATCCGAATATTTACTCTCATTAATTCTGATGGTTTTTGAAGTTGTAAATTGTCCAAACTAAAATGAATTGCTTTATGATATTACAAGAGGCATAAATGTGTTTTTTATGTTTTTTTTTTTACTTTTATGCAATTGAAATTTAATTTTGTTTTGGTTTAATAAATACATGTACTCCCATGGTATTTGAATTGCTATTCGTCATGTTTAATTTTGAAGGGGTTGGTTGCATGCTTATATAAATATTTGCAAAGGTACGTATTCTTATTCTTTTTATTATTATAATATATTATGATTATTATAAATAAGTAGCAGTAATTTAATAAACATTAAATTATATTGTAAGGAATAAGGAAGAATACTAAAACGGAAAAAACAACTTCAAAAATAGATGAAAAATACATCTTCAAAGAATGATATCTTGGAAACAAGGGTTAAAGATCCACAGGAAAAGACGTGAGATAAATTCAATTTAAGATGTATAAAACTGAAGAGAAAATGGCAAAAAAAAGAGAAAAAAAAATCGGCAATATCTTTATGTTTTGTTAGTCAGTCCCATCGTAGAAAAGCACCAAGATAGATAAATATAAAGACAGTTGGTAGAAAACAATTGGTTGTAAGCTGAGATAGGAGAGAAATGAGGTCACATCCTATAAAGAACCCAGATAAAAGAAAATGTAAACAGTCGTTTGTGAACTGAGAGAAGGATATGGAGATGACGAACGGTATTCAATCTCAAAGTCCATAAAACAATACAAAATTAGAGCAGAGCAGACACGGACCCCCGAGACATCAGAGGTGGGATCAAGTGCGATGGAGGAGTGAGCATCCTCTGCCGACCGGTCACACCCGCCGTGTGCTCCTTGTCATGATCAGGAAATAACGAGAAAAAACAACGGCATATAAGATTTTCAATGTCATCGAGATTGACTTTTTAAACACTTTTACTGTTGATAATAACTATTAGACGTAATTTTTATTAAATTTATAAAAACAGTATGCATATTTTTTTCTTTTTAATTTGAATGATTCTATTTAAAATTAGGTAGCTTGCATTTTTTGAGACAGCTAAATATTACCCATATATTTGATATTTCACATAAAATGACTAATATTAATATTTTCTTAATTAAGGGGAATCAACAGAGATACGTAATTCTGAGAAAAGGATATTTAATATCGAGATATAATTCTCAGTTCATGAGACTTGGTATAGAGCTAAAATTCTAAATTAAGAAGACGTGGTATTTACATAGCTATCTTTCTTTCTTGGACATGTTATTTACTTAGATATCTTTTTCTCTCCTTCCTCTGACTTTTCTCTTTCATTCCCCTTCATTTTCTTTCTAATCTCTCTATCTCCTCTCTATCTCTTTCTTCCTTTCTCTCTTTCAATTCCCTTTCTTCTCCTTTCTTTCCTTTTTTGTCTTGTTTCTCTCTCTCTCTCTCTCTCTCTCTCTCTCTCTCTCTCTCTCTCTCTCTCTCTCTCTCTCTCTCTCTCTCTCTCTCTCTCTCTCTCTCTCTCTCATCTCTTTCACTCTCCAATATGCAGTCATCATGGTTTTGTCAGCAACAGAGAACTGGTTGTATTATTCATAGTGCTGTGTCCGAGTAAGCATATTATTGATGTTTTAATAAAAAAAATGTATAATCATAATTCAAATGAACTTTAATATCTTAGATTCTGAGATGCTTTTTAAAAAACAGGCGTTTACAAAATTAAAAATCATAAGATATACAGCGTATTAAAAAATCATGTTATACTGTAAAAAGACAAACGATTTAAAAATATATCATAAAAATGATGTTGTACCAAATAAACAAAGGTATATAAAAAGAGGGGTTAAAGATGTACCGGAAAATATCTAAGATAGCTTAAATTAATGATATTTATAAAATCGGAAGATGAAATTGCAAAAATATACCCTTATTATCAGTCCCATCGTAGAAGAGAAACAAAGATACATAAAAAATTTATACAGTCGTTTGTAACGGAGATAAGGGAAACTGAACTGTTACCGAGAATGACATATTTCAAGAGATTACTTAAGTTATTTCCAACATAATTTGATTGAATTTATAAAAACATTATGCATCATTTTCTCATTTTGATTTGATGTGAATTATTTTTTTTATCATTAAATTAACCTCCATTTTTTAGACGGCTTCAATTTACCCCTAACTTTGACATTTCACATAAAATGATTCATATGTTCACCGAATACAAGGGTTAAAAAAAATGATGAGATATATGTGTATAAAAAAAATGTCATTGGTGAAACAAAGCAAAATATTTTAAAATTAACTTATGAATTAGGGAATAACTATCTTCTTATTTGGTATTTGTTACCCTTAATGCTGATTTAATAGTCGTAAACTGAGTTTTACCGGGGACACGTAAGCGTTGTCGATTAAACGGATGTTTGCGACCGTTAAATCATCAGGAACGGTCGCAAATTCCAAAACAGAAGATAATTATTCCCATTCTAATACACTCTATGCATTTTGTTTGATATTAACATCTTATTTTATTGAGTTTTTTTTCATGAAATACGCCACGGGACATTGTGTTTTTGCTTCGCTCTATTATGACGTCACAATGAAAAGCACTCTGTCTCATTGATGCTCATTTTACTTCTTCAAACATCAGTGCATTAACCAATCAAAATGTGTTTTACAAAACAAGTGTATTAGAATGATGTACTAAAGTTAGAATTCCCAAGATTAAAGTGACATCAATTCCTGATTCCAAATGATGAATGCATCAGTGACGTCATAATTGTGAGGAAAAAATATCAGTATTGGTATGAATTGCCAAGTTTTGTCAATGGAAATAATGAGAAGGGTTTCTTGCCGATACAAGAAATTAAAAAAAATGGTCAGAGAATTTGACGACTTTACCATCAATTGAATCATGTGATGTCATGGGGTACCTTATGAACAATTGTGGTTGGGAGGCCTCTAGGTTAACAGGGAACAGGAAGGATAATGGTTACAAGTTATATATTGATAACCACATCAGTGATGTTACCATTGCGGAAGTAACAGAAACCTTACCATACTTTTATGTGAAGGCATCCTGTGTACCAGAAACTCGACAGACTGAGGCCCCATATGTTACTTGGGTACTTGTAAAAACAAATGGGCAGATTTTTTTCAGGAGGTTGTTCTTGTGTTGTGTAAGCTAAATAAATTCTTTTGCTGTTTTAGTGTTTACCGTTTACATGATGTTAACTTAATCCAACGTGCTTTTATTTTTTACCTTTTAAGCAGTGTTCTAAGATTTTACGCTTTCCTCAATTTGTGTTGCAACTGAGAGAATTACTTAAAAGGCTTTTAATTTGAACAAGTCTTTTCTGTACTTTAATCGTTGACTTCACATTAATACATTACCTGTCTTCGACCCCAGTGCTGGCAACTTGGTGGTAACAATTTTAAAGCATTTCCTTGTAATCAGCCATTCATTTGGTATGAAATTGGTATGGTTTATCATCTTCATTTCATAATTCCATTTGGAAATATTATTCAGTTTAAATTTGTTAAAAAGTTTCAGCATCTATTATGATGTATAATCATTGTATTTTGTGGGAAAGAGATACTCAATAGCTTAATCAGAACAAAAATATAACCCTAAATATAATATGGAATTAAGTCAATTTTAATAAAAGATATGAAGTTATTACATGAACACCTACACATGTACAATGACATAGTATTTCATGTACATTGTGTTGAATAATATTATGCATTTTCTTTTTCAGAGGTAATGGAACATGTAAACATTGTGTGGCCTTATTGTTTTCCTTGGTAAGTTTCAATGACCGACACAAAGACCGTTATTCAGAGGCATGTACTGACACTGTGTGTATGTGGGACAAACCAAAGAAAACATCAGCGCCAATGGAAAAAGACAGCATCGATCTGCAGAGAAATACCACTACAAAGAAAAAAGTTTTGCCAATCCCTGAAAATTACTCTCCTTGTGGACAGATCAACCACAGAGAGGTTGAAAAAGATGTATATGACTTGTTTAAGTCTAGCAACTCCTTATTATTGCAAGTATTAGACCCCACAAGTGATGACAATTTATCTGATGATGAAATAGATGTTCCTCCACTAAAAAAATGCTTTAAAAACGCTTTCATCAAACAATCAGGTTTTTGAACATTTGAGAACTATGTACACACCAGATGTTGTAAAAGAAATAGAAAAGGTAACCAGAGGTCAATCTGACAACACTCTTTGGTTTGAGCATAGATATGGCAGGGTTACTGCATCACTTTTCCCATCTGTTATGCATTTCAGATTTAATGACAATCCTGAGAATTGTATTTTAAAAAAAGTACTTGGCAATTCAATGGATGGTTCCATGATACCTTCCATTGCATTTGGAAAAAAGTATGAGCCGGTGGCCAGACAACAGTACATTGATCTATACAAAAAATCACACAGAAATTTAAATGTAGAATCATGTGGGTTGTTTGTTTGTGATCAATATCCTTTTATGGGTGCTTCACCCGATGGAAGAATTACATGCAAGTGTTGTGGAACAGGTCTTATGGAGATAAAATTTAGTTTCACATATCAGAATGTTGATCCTTTAGAAGCTTGTAAAGATTATCATTATCATTTATACATGATCATCTTTACAGATGTCTCCATGGTATATTCAAATTTAGGGGCAAATGGGCATATGCAAATCTTTGTGGTGTGATTCTATTTTTTTCACAAGAAAGGGAATCATGGTTGATAGGATATCATTTGACCCTGAAATGTATTTTGAAATTGTGCATAAATGGAGGAGATTTTTTGAAACGTTTGTGTTAAATGCACTGTTCCACCAAAATTCAAACACTTGAACAACATAAATTGTGTTCACAAGATTTGTGTACATGTTTATGTACTAATTTAAGTAACATAAGTCAAAAGTCATTTCTTAAATACAATATTTATTGTTTACTTATCTTCAGAAAGGACTCATGGTAGATCTTCAAACAACTGTATCAGTACTCTGTAGTTGATGACATTACATGTATAAAAGTACAAAATTAACATATTCATGTACATGTGTATCAACAAAATATCATGATCTATAGTACATTTACTCATGTGACTGAGTTAATTCTAGTGGTTGAATATTAATAGTTTTGTAAGAGAAAACAGTTGCAAATATAAATATATAAAAACACTTTGTCTTCATAGTTCATACATCTTACTTCACTAAAGGTTTTTGACAATTGCTTAAAAATGCACACACTCTCAGAATTTGATTGCATAATGGTTTGATTTTTAATGGAATAGTATGAGATAAAATTTTGTAATTCTTCAGTCAGCTTATTGCCCTTTCTACATGAATCCGAAGCTTTGCATTTTTTTTTGTTTTCAAAATATTGTGAGCAGTTAGATGTTTACCTTTTCCCCATGCACACTTTTTGGTAAATGGTGGTATATTCAATGTAGCCCTTCTCTCTAACAACAAGTCTCTGATCAAAAACCCTCTGTCAGCCATCACTTCATCACCAGGCTTTACTAAATCTAAAAATCCACTGTGTTCTGTTATGTACCTATCTGACACATTTCCTCCCCAAAGATTAGAAACGAACATAAAAGCTCCAGAGGGTGTCACAGCAACTAAAGCTTTGAATGTGTTTTTCTGTTTATATGAACAAAATGTTCTCATCTGTGCAGTAGGTGTAGATGGCCTTTCAATGAAAATCTCAGTACAATCAATTATGCTAGTTGTTTTTGGAAAAACTGAATTAAAACATTTTGGCATAAATTTTTTCAAACACTTGGAACTTAGTCTTTTCAACAGTGGTGAAAATACAGTATTCATGTAACTAATCCATGTGACAAAAATTGTGATACCCTTGTGCAAGAAAAACCAAAGCTATCTGCAATTTCAAATGTAGGTAAAGCTAGACGAAGTCTTAATAGAGTCACAAGGAATTCATGAAAACGAGTCAGCTTCCTATTTGGGCCAGACTTTTTGGAAGGATTCTTGGCTGCTGTATTAGGAATGGCTGATCCACCCTTCCAATATGCAAGTGTCGGTGTTATTTTGTCAAGTATGGCTGTAAAGTAATAAGAAAACAATAAGAGATACTAGTATTGTACATTCAGAATTATCTGTTCTATACTTTTAATTCTAATTTTGTTATGGTATAGTAAACATGAAGTCAAATCATATGTAATTTTGCTTTAGTTAATTTTTTTTACATGCATTAGAAATATCATTAAATTTACCGAAGATTCCAAATAGAGTCAGAACAGATGGCAGTCCCAAATAACTCATAACGGAGCTATCACTGTTTGTCATCTTGTCTACTGTCATGTACCGCCTCAGATCATCTTTGTTCCTGAAGCTGTCTCGAAGTTGCAACAGTTCAGCCTCAGATTTCTCTAGGTCATGCAGGGTCAAGTCTGTCTGACATTGTACATCAGAGGAATGGACAACTTCATTGCCAACTGAACAGTAATCATGATCATGGGGGGCTAAATAGATAAAAAACTTTAGGTTTTTTTATAAGCTTATTGATTGCTTTTGAGTTCTTCAGAACTATTACAAATTAAAAGCTGTGCATAAGTCAACATACCTGCTATTTGTTCTGCTGTCATGAGGAATTTAACAGTAATTTCTCTCTCCACTGGGAATGGGAAAGGTTGTTTTCGTTCATTTTCATGCTACATGTACAATTAATAGGTTATATTTATTTAAATCATTTGAAAAATAATCAAATTATTGGTGATAAATTAATTGACTCAGGGCATTGTTTAAAATAATGAAAAAAAGGCCTACAATGTCTCATGATACGTACAGATACGAGAAACCCCGTTGTTGTAGGCCTTGGTATAGCCTCATATTTTGTGGGCGTGGCTTCCATCGTAGTACATGTGAATCTTTTCTCAATGGAAGAAGTTCCACGGGTCTCTTGTGGGCGTTTATAGTTATTATATCGATACAGTTCAGGATACGGGTGGGCTTCAGTAGGTCTGCCTTCTACAAAATGTTTCGAGCAAATTCTATCGTGGCGAGAGGGGTCAAACTCATGGCGTCTAAGTAACTCCAGCCATTTCTTGCGGAGTTTGGGGTATTTTGAGGTGGGAAATGCGAAGAATTCCAAATCGGCCATGAAGCCATATCTTCCCTTTTTACGAGAATCCGATGAACAGCCTTCAGCTACAAAGTAGTAGCGAGGCATTTCGATGCAGACGATGTTTCCAATGTCAACAATTTCAGCGGAAGTGATGCGCCCCGCATTTTAATAAAAATCACGTGACTTACGTACAAACTAAATGTTGGAATCCTGCCGGAATACGGTAACTCGAAACTGGACTATTCAAATACAACGCTAAATGTCTCGCAGATATTTCTATAAAGAAGAACATTAAGATAAAAGTAAATTTTCGCCAAATATAGAACGCGCTAAATATAATACATTTGCAATATAAATTGGTTATTGTGTAAATGGTGGTATATACCTTGTTTATTGTGTAAATGGCGGTATATACTTCGTTTATTGTGTAAATGGCAGTGTAGACCTTGTTTATTGTGTAAATGGTGGCATATACCTTGTGTATTGTGTAAATGGTGGTATATATCTTGTTTATTGTGTAAATGGTGGTATATACCTTGTTTATTGTGTAAATGGTGATATATACATTGTTTATTGTATAAATGGTGTTATATATCTTGTTTATTGTGTAAGTGGCGTTATACATCTTGGTTATTGTGTAAATGGTGGCATATACCTTGTGTATTGTGTAAATGGCAGTGTAGACCTTGTTTATTGTGTAAATGGTGGCATATACCTTGTTTATTGTGTAAATGGTGGTATATACCTTGTTTATTGTGTAAATGGTGGTATATACATTGTTTATTGTGTAAATGGTGATATATACATTGTTTATTGTATAAATGGCGTTATATATCTTGATGCGTGAAGCGGACCCCGCTTTAATCTCACCGCCAGTAAGCCCGGCCCCTTGTATATTCCAATACAGTAATGGTATTGTGGATCGATCATTGTTGTTTATGCGACGATGCGGACATGTACACTGTACCTGTAAACAGTGATATAATGGAGAACATTGATAAATTTTCTAAAATTCAATATTGTACATTCGACGTAGATTTACATGTACATATATAATTGATTTCCTTGATTTCTCGATCCCGAGAAATTCAATTTAATTCAACAGCGGTTTATAAGGCATTTATTTTTCTTCAGTTTTAATGAGAAAACAAAAAAAAAAAAGAGGAAGAAAAGAGTGTTGAATTGATTTTCAGTGTATCGAATGGTGTACAAGTAAAACTGACGAAAGAAATCTAAACTAAATACCTTTTAAATTCATGCTTTATATAGTTTACAAACACATTTGTTATTCCTTAAGTTTTGCTAAATCGTAGTTTAAGTGTTTGCTAAACACGTGAATTATGATATCGCATCTATGAATTACATGTAACCTTTTGTACATCTGATCTAATTTAGATTTCATTTATAGTAGTTACACATTAAAAGTTCGTAATAAATATTTACCGGACATTTTCTAAAAAAAAAACAAAAACAAAAAAACAAAAAAACAAAAAAACTGTATTTTAATTTAGATCTTTTTCACGCTCAGAATTTTGGAGCGAGTATGATTTTTATCAGAATAAAGAAAAAAAGCAAATAACAATTGTTCTCCCGACCCGATAAGAATATATAAATATATGCCCCCTATTTCACACACACAACACACAATGTCTTTAAAAAATCTAATTATTTAATTGTTTTTTCTGATTTTCAATTTACGTGTTACATTAAATTATTCAAAATTCTTAATCTTCTTAATCTTCTTGATTTTCTTGGGCATGAAAAAAATGCGTGTATATGAAAATTTTCCTTTTGGATGCACAGATTGAAGTCATTCCGTCCTAATGGTATTAACAAACTGAATGACTTAACCAGAATGAACGTGAATTAGACCCAATTCCTGATGATACTTTACAAAATTATTCTTTCAATTTAGTGTAACTCTACAGTTAGTTTGCGTTACCAACTCTCGAACAACCAACATAACTAATGTATGTATTGCTTACACCTTTATTAATTATTTGTTCCCAATAATTAGTCCTATAACATTTCAAAATTTATAATAGATCATAATTCATATTTCGAAATATCCTTTCTATATTATATTTCTGATTATTCTTTATCAAGTATAGTTACGCCATTTTGAGAGACTGAAACAATGTACGATTTACTAAATGTCGTGATTAATTAGCGTAATTAATTCGTTCAATTATGTACATTGCACTTCACCTGAATATACCCCGATAAACCAGACGTATTTCATAGCGGTCCAGATTTTTTTTCTTTAATAGTGTTAATATAAATTTTCAATTCAACATGTAACTAAGTAAATATTATATAGTGTTTAGTAGTAGTGCTAGTTGTTCTTGGTTTCTCTTTTTCCTTTGTTCTTATGACATTTTAACTTCTTTCTTTGTCCTGAGGAAGGGACAGAACGTCCCGAAAATTTGACAATTTTTATTGTTCGCGTTGTTGGTCATTTTTAGTGCTTTATATACATCTTACTGAACATGTATATTTTTTTGAAAAAAAATAGCTGCAGCAGGCTTATAGAAAACAATTTGAGTACAGTATTGGGAGGACAACTCATAGAAATTATAGTAAAAGTCATCAGGCTTTATTATTAAAATCAAGTCTAATGATGTGAGTTTACAATTACTCTCTCTCTCTCTCTCTCTCTCTCTCTCTCTCTCTCTCTCTCTCTCTCTTGTCCTGTATCTAATTATATTTAAATATTGGGCACGTTAATATTCCTGAACTGTTAGTGTCTTGAGATGATGAAATTTTACAATAATTGTCAAAGACCAACTATATTTCTTTTCTCCTCTTTTTGTCAGTAAAAACTGTAATATCAATTGATTTCCATTTTTTATGCATTGACTGATTATTTACCTAATTTATTTACCAAATGGGCGTTAAATACTGGTATGAAAAAACTAAAGAAAATAGAAACGTAAATATTCATGTATAATTCTGCGTGAAAAATTGAAACATATAATTAATTGCTTTTTAATAAAACAAGAAAATAGATATATAAATATAGAATACAACCCGGAGAATTAAAATATATAAATATTTAAACAATATTTTAATTATCATAACAGATTTACACTGCACATTCACACGTTTTACTTGTATGTACATGCAGTGTTTGGATTTATATCGAATTAAATCAACACATTCGATCTTATATCCAAATCGACAAATCAATATGCTACTTTGATTGGTTGATGCGCTGATTGGTTAATCGCTAATCCTGATTGACAGCTCTGTAAAGAAATACCGAACCCGCGTTCGCTCTCTGGGACCGCTACTGAATTTGGGGTTCGCTCTCTGGGTCTGCTTCGGGTTCGCTCGGGGTCCGCTACGGGTTCGCTTTGGGTCCGCTCCGGGTTCGCTCGGGGTCAGCCCTAGCGGACCCCGAGCGAACCCGAAGCGGACCCAGAGAGCGAACCCGGGGTCCGCTCTGGGTTCGCTTTCTGTTAGGTTGTGTCCGGTCGGTACTGTACCTTGTTTATTGTGTAAATGGCGGTGGCAGGTGCGATCCATTCTCTAGCATGAATCCCAGCCTCGATCCAAATCACAGGCTTAGCCCGTCCTTCATCGTTTTTGCCAAGCTGAAATTTTAATTCTCGTTAATCAGGATTAAAATCATGGTATTGACAATCTATTATTATATAGCATTAAAATATCACGTGGAATTTTGAAATTAAAATGAAAGCAATTTTTTGTCTACTCGAAATGTACTGAAAAAGTGGAATTTTATCAAGGATTTATTTTGGTAATATTATATGCACTGGTTCTGTGATCAATGAAAGTTAATATTGCTTAAAAATTATTCTTCTTCAATTATTCTATTATTTCTAGATTTAACAAACTGCTAATATTATGTTTTGGGGTAAGTAGCTCATTTTATATCTCATTTAATTGTCCACTTAAACGTAACCTAACCAGGCGATTTATTCGAATGTTTTAAAAAATTGGGATTTTTTTTACAAGACGTAATAAATACCTCAATAATCTTCATGTTTCTACCCTCGTGGGACGATCCCAGGGACTCCACTTTAGCGAGTGTAGGATATTGTAACGCCATGCTAGTGCGCCAGCTGTCGATCTAAGCAAAAAAAAAAAATTAAATTCATTTAACCTCTAAAAAAAACCTAAGAATTCCTGAGAAATACATTTATGGTCTTCATGTCTCGACCCTCGTGGGACGATCCCAGGGACTCCACTTTAGCGAGTGTAGGGTATTGTAACCTCATGCTGGTAAGCCAGCTGTCAATCTAATTAGAGAGTGTAGGGTATTGTAACCTCATGCTGGTAAGCCAGTTGTCAATCTAATTAGAGAGTGTAGGGTTTTGTAACCTCATGCTGATAAGCCAGCTGTCAATCTGATTAGAGAGTGTAGATATTGTAACGCCATGCTGGAAAGCCAACTTTCAATCTAATTAGAGAGTGTAGGGTATTGTAACCTCATGCTGGTAAGCCAACTGTCAATCTAATTAGAGAGTGTAGGGTATTGTAACGCCATGCTGGTAAGCCAACTGTCAATCTAATTAGAGAGTGTAGGGTATTGTTACCTCATGCTGGTAAGCCAACTGTCAATCTAATTAGAGAGTGTAGGGTATTGTTACCTCATGCTTGTAAGCCAGCTGTCAATCTAATTAGAGAGTGTAGGGTATTGTAACCTCATGCTGGTAAGCCAACTGTCAATCTATTTAGAGAGTGTAGGGTATTGTAACGTCATGCTGGTAAGCCAACTGTCAATCTAATTAGAGAGTGTAGGGTATTGTAACGCCATACTGGTTAGCCAGTTGTCGATCTAAACAAGCATGTTAATTCAAGAAAAGTAAACCCTAAAGAAGAAACCCTCTCTGAAAATTCAGGTTTCTCATTCTTCTTACTTTATCTATAAAAGTAAAATAAATACAATGGTGAAAAATGTTCATTAAATTAATATACATGTAACATCTGTTATATATCCAGTTCTTCCTCTATTAGTTAATATGCCATACACGAATAACAAATAAATATTATGGATATTTATGTGTTTCTAACATGTGTGTCGTTCAAAGTAACGAAAGGATATAATGTACATTAAAAGTCTGAAAGAGATAAAAGCAAATTTATGGATTCAAAAATATTGACATAAATAAGGCAATGTGTCTTTTGTTAGGTTATAAAGTTGTCTACCTCGGAATGTCTTGCAAATTTTCCCACGATATCCTGGTTTTTGGTATGACTTAATGACGTCATCAT